GCCAATATCTCTAATGAATATAGATGCAAAAATCTTCAACAAAATACTAGCAAACCCAAATCAAACAACATATTAAAAACAATCATTCACCATGATCAAATTGGATTTATTCCTGGGTTGCAAGGGTAGTTCAATATTTGCATATCAACCAATGTGGTACATTACATCCATAAGAGAAAAGATAAGAACCATATGATCATTTCAATAGATGCAGAAAAAGCATGTGACAAAGTAAAACATCCATTCTTGACAATAACCCTCAACAAAGTAGGTCTACATAACCCTCAACAAAGTAGGTCTAGAGGGAACATACCTCAACATAATGAAGGCCTTATATGAAAAGGCCCCAGCCAACATCATACTTAATAAAGAAAAACTGAGAATTTTCCTCTACAATCAGGAACAAGAGAAGGATACCCACTCTCACCAATTTTATTCAACATAGTACAGGAATTCCTGGCCACAGCAATCACAACAAAAAGAAATAAAAGACATCCAAATTGGTAAGGAAGAAGTAAAACTCTATTTGTAGATGATGTGATACTATGGATAGAAATCCTTAAGACTGAACCAAAAAACTACTAGAACTGATAAATGAATTCAGTAAGTCACAGGATACAAAATCAATGTACAGAAAACCGTTGCATTTCTGTACACTACTAATAAAGGAGCAGACAAATTTAAGAAAACAATCACATTTATAATTCCATCAAAAATAATAAAATACCTAGAAATTAAACTTAACCAAGGAGGTGAAAGACGTGTACTATGAAAAGCATAAAACACTGAAAGAAATTAAAGGCAAGAAAAACAAATGGAAAGACATTCCATGTACATGGACTGGATGAACAAATACTGTTAAAGTGTCCATCCTACCCAAAGCATTAATGCAATCCCTATCAATACACCAACAGCATTTTTCACAGAATTAGAACAATCCTAAAATTTGTGTAGAACCACAAAGACCCTGAACAAAAAAAGCAATCTTGAAAAAGAAAATCAAAGCTGAAAGTATCACAATTCCAGATTTCAAGTTATATTACAAAGCTGCAGTATTCAAAACAGTATGGTAATGGCACAAAATAAACACACAGGGGCACCTGGGTGGCTAAGCTGGTTAAGCATCTGACTCTTGATTTCAGCTCAGGTCATGATCTCAGGGTTGTGAGACCGAGCTTGTGTTGGGCTCCACACTGGGCATGGAGCCTGCCTAAGATTCTTCCTTTCCCTCTCCCACGTCCCCTCCCCACATCTCTTAAAAAATAATAGATACATAGATCAACGGAACAAAATAGAAAACCCAGAAATAAACTCACAATTATATGGTCAATTAATCTTCAACAAAGGAGGAAAGAATATGCAATGAGAAAAAAACAGTCTCTTCAACAAACGGTGTTGGCAAAACTAGAATAGCTACATGCAAAAGAATGAAATTGGCCCACTTTCTTACACCATACACAAAAATAACTCAAAATGGATTAAAGACCTGAATGCGATACCAGAAACCATAAAAATCCTAGAAGAGAGCACAGTCAGTAATCTCTTTGACATCAGCTGTGGCAACATTTTTCTAGATATGTCTCCTGAGGCAAGGGAAACAAAAGCAAACATAAACCACTGGGACTACATCAAAATAAAAAGCTTCCACACAAAAAAGGAAACAATCAACAAGACTAAAATATAACCTATGCAATGGGAGAAGATATTTGCAAATAACATATCTGATAGTACTCAAAATACATAAAGAACTTACACAACTCAACACCAATAAAACAAATAATCCAATGAAAAAATGGGTAGAAGACATGAACAGATATTTCTCCAAAGAAAAATATATAGATGGCCAACAACCACATGAAAAGACGTTCAACATCACTCATCACCAGGGAAATGCAAAACAAAACCACAATGAGATATTACCTAACAACTGTCAGAATGGCTAAAATCAAAAACAGAAGAAACAACAAGTGTTAGTGAGTATATAGAGGAAAAGGAACCCTTGTGTTTTGTTGGTAGGAAAGCAATCTGGTCCAGCCTCTGTGGATAAAAGTATAGAGGTTCCTCAAAATATTAAAAATATAACTACCATATGATTCAGTAATCACGCTACTGGGTATTTACACAAAGAATATGAAAACACTAATTCAAAAGGATATGTGCACCCCTATGCTTATTGCAGCATTATTTATAATAGCCAAATTATGAACCCAGCCCGTGTTCATCCATACATGAATGGATCAAGAAGATGTGGTAAAACCGTAAAAAAGAATGAAATCTTGCCATTTGCAACAACATGGATGGACCTAAAATGTATAATGCTAAGCAAAAGAAGTCAAAGAAGGATAAATACCATATGATTTCACTCATACATGGAATTTGAGATACAAATGAATGAAGGAATAAAAAGTGACAGTACAAAAAAACAGACTCTTAACTATAGAGAACAAATGGTTACCAGAGGGGAGGTAGGTGGGTAGGTGGGTGAAACAGGTAAAGCGGGGGCACCTGGGTCAGTCATTAAGCATCTTCCTTTCGGCTCAGGTCATGATCCCAGCATCCTGGGATGGAGCCCCGCATCGGGCTCCCTGTCCACAGGAAGTCTGCTTCTCCCTCTCCCGCTCCCCCTGCTTGTGTTCCCTATGTCTCTGTCAAATAAATAAAATCTTTAAAAAAAAAAATAGGTAAAGGGGATTAAGAGTATACTTATCTTGATGAGCACTGAGTAATACATGGAATTATTGAATCATTATATTGTACACTTGGAACTAATACAACACTGTATGCTAACCATACTGGAATGAAAATAAGGTTTTTGGAATCAGGTATTGTACAACTTTACTAAAAAACCAACGAACTGGGGCAATCAGTTAAGCATCCAGCTCAGGGTAGTGAGATCTAGCCCTACAGCAGGCTCCACACTGGGCATGGAGCCTGCTTAAGATTCTCCCTCTCCCTCTGCCTGCCACTCCCCTCCCAGAGCTCATGTGTGCATTCCCTCTCTCTAAAACAAACAAACAAAAAACACATTTAACTGTATACTTTACAGTGGTAAATTTTTTGGTATCTAAATTATATCTCAATAAAAAAATAAGATTGTGAAAAACTAAGGTTTTAAAAACTTTCGGTTGTTAAATGAATTTAAATGTGGAATATGTGTAAATAAATATATGATTTCAGGATAAAATGTAAATTATAATTCTCAAAAGAGAAATTAAATAATATAAAATAATCATCTGAGAACAGTAGACTACGTAAATCCCAGATTACGCAACAGAAGTAGGAAATAGGAGGAAATGTGTGACAGAGTGATTTTCTCATCTTACAAAAGAAAGAACCAGAAGATACTATTCATGGTTGATATAAATAATGCGAAAATGTAAGGTAAAAAAAAAACAACTTTATGGATTACTAGCAAAATTTAAAACAATGTATTCCTTTCAAGTTACATAAGAAAAGACATTTAATTTAAAGTGAGAAAGTAATCTAGATATGCCAACTGCTAGTGTCTCTGTGGGAAAAAGTATGTAGGTTCCTCCAAAAGTTAAAAATACAACTACCATATGATCCAGTAACCACACAACTGGGTATTTAAGCAAAGAATATGAAAATCCTAATTCAAAAGGATATATGCACCCTTATGTTTATTGCTACATTATTCACAATAGCCAAATCGTGGAAACAGCCCAAGTGTCCATCCATAGATGAATGTATAAAGAAAATGAGGTGTATATAAATCTATATATATGTAGAAATATACACACACAGAGAAATATTACTCAGCCATAAAAAAAGGAATCTTGCCATTTGCAACAACATGGATGGATCTAGAGTATAATACTACGCGAAAGAAGTCACTCAGAGAAGATAAATACCTTATGATCTCACTCATATGCAGAATTTAAGAAACAAACAAAAAAACGAACAAAGGAAAAAAGAGACAAACCAAAAAACTGACCCTTACCTATAGGGAACAAACTGATGTTACCAGAGAGGAGGTGAGTGGGGGGATGGGTGAAATAGGTGAAGAAAGAACAAGAATACAATTATCATGATGAGCACCGATTAATGCACATAATTTTTTAATCACTAGATCATACACCTGAAACTAATAGAACACTGTATGTTAACTATACTGAAATTTAAAAAAGAAATAAAAGAAAACAGGAAACAGCAAGAAAGCATTTTTTAAAAGTTTACAAATTGCCAATTACTCAGTAAATAAATTCACCCATTAAACGTCCTTTAGATACATTTTAAAGTATCTGCATATGACCCATTTAAAACAAATAGAGCTAGAAAGCTTGGGTGGAAAAGATAAATATACATAGAAAGAAAATAAGGATTATATTAAAGTAGAACCCAAGATGTAAAAAAAATCACATGAGAAAAGAGGATCATTTTTTATAAATCCACAAGTCAGACAACTTCATACACTAAATAACACTGCTAAAATATACATAAAGTAAAAACTATTAAACATGCAAAAACAAATGGATATAAATTCAGAAGTAGAGACTTCTTTAGATAAGCAATTATAGTCAGTATAAATATAAATAAGGTTAAATGAAAGTCATTTGATATCAAATAATGTAGGCCTGATGTCAAATAATGTAGGCCTTACATATTAAGAGTTTGGACTTAAAAGCAAAAGGTGATAAAAACTGTTTAAGAATGTTCTTTTGTATAGTGATGTGAAGAATGGAGGGTGAACAGACAGAGTAGGAAGACAATCTTCCTGACTGAAAGAATGAATGGCAATCAGAATTCACTGCCCATGGTCAATCCCATAAAGAAATACATTTCTACGAAATGCTACTTTGAGAAGGCTGGTTCCCGTTGGGGTGTACCCAATTCTATGTCTATACAGCTCTTTACTCTTTACAAAGTGCTTTCACATTCCTATTACTTGCAGCACTGTAACAAACAGGAAAGGACAGTGACATGTAGATGGGAACAAAACAGAAACTCCTGGAAGCAAAAGAGCATGACTCAAGGAGGGGAATTCCTGTTGCCCTTAAGAGGATTGTAGGTGTATAAAAGTGCCCTACATATGCCAGTCAAGAACTTCCTTTCACATTCAGCATTTCTCCTCCCTCCAAGAAGAGTATCGACACTGAAGCAGTGGCAACAGCTGCAAAAGACAAACATGAGTGTGAAGGGCATGGTTATAGCCTTGGCTGTGATAGTCTGTGCTACAACTGTTCAAGGTATATGGTACCTTTTACTTCTTAGCTTATAAATTTATTTTCTAATGCTTCAAATGTCTTTTTTTCCATCTTTTCTTAAAAGATTTAGTAAATTTTTATTTAACCTCACACATTAGAATTTACTACTGCTTTGACAGAAAATGTTTGAAGTGTTTAAGGTATTAGAGATGATTGGTGAAACTAGAACTGATAAACCTGACGTTGTTTTTGATTTGCCTACAGTATCTGGCAAGAGCCTTTAGCAGTAGTTTTAAATGTTTGTTAAGATTTTATTAGCTTCCTGGAAATATTCTTGAGCACAAAAACAAGAAGCAAATAATCTTAATCTCCAATAAATTTTCATGCTTCCCTTTGTTCTTTAATGGTTTGTTTACAAATTTAAGGAGAAAATCAACATCTTACTTATGTTCCTTTCCCAGTAACAGCAGTGTCAAGTGCTATTTGACAAATTGCTATCTTTATCCTTAATGAAAACCCTGCTCATATTCTTCACCAGGATTATAAACTACAATCATCTGTTGCAGTCAGGTGTTATTAGTAACTGATGCTGTGATCTGTTCTAGGCTTCCCCATGTTCAAAGCGGGACGCTGTCTTTGCAGAGGACCTGGAGTAAAAGCAGTGAAAGTGGCAAATATTGAGAAAGCGACCATAATTTATCCGAGTAACAACTGTGACAAAATAGAAGTGATGTAAGTACCGAACTTGCTAAAGATGACAGTGGTGGGAAGTTTTTTTATGTTTTTGTTTTGCTTATGTTTTTCCATCCAAAATTTAGAACTGTTTTGGATTTTCCCTTAACAGTATCACCCTGAAAGCACATAAAGGACAAAGATGCCTAAATCCTAAATCGAAGCAAGCAAGCATTATAATCAAGGTAGGGTACCAGATTACTGACATTTTATAATTGATTTTATCCAAGACAGATCTTTTGAGAAAACAGACTTGCAGAAAAGATTCTGCTAGGATTTTGTGTGAAGCATTTGGTAAGAAGTCTTTGGTTTAACTACCTTTCCTTTCCTGCTGTATGTTTTTACATGTCAACTCAATCACTGGGAAACAAGAGCAGAACAACGCTTAAAAACTCGCATTTTCTCATTTCAGAAAATTGAAAGAATGAATTTTTTAAAATACCAAAATGTATGAAGTCCTGGGAAAAGAGGATCTGAAAACTTAGAACAAGTTTAACTGTGACAACTAAAGTGATAAGAATTCCACAATAGGAAACGGATTTTCTCCTGCCTGTTGCAAAGTACATTCATTCATTTCTACGTCAGCAAACCTCAGAAATCTGATGGTTAGAATTATTCCTTTGTGACTATGAAAGCATTTCTGTATTTAGAAGTTATGTGTTTGGGGCGCCTGGGTGGCTCAGTTGGTTAAGCGACTGCCTTCGGCTCAGGTCATGATCCTGGAGTCCCGGGATCGAGTCCCACATCGGGCTTCCTGCTCAGCAGGGAGTCTGCTTTTCCCTCTGACCCTCTTCCCTCTCGTGCTCTCTATCTCTCATTCTCTCTCAAATAAATAAATAAAATCTTTAGAAGTTATGTGTTTGTACTTGATCTATCTGCCATATTACAACCTTCACTTACAATGAAGATATTAACATTATTACTGGAGTCAAGACCTATGAGTCAAATGCATCCATGTGTGTAATAAATATTCCCCAAATAATTTTTTTAAAGATTTTATTTATTTATTTGACAGAGAGAGAGATAGCAAGAGCAGGAACACAAGCAGGGGGAGTTGAAGAGGGAGAAGCAGGCTTCCAGCTGAGCAGGGAGCCCGATGTGGGGCTCGATCCCAGGACCCTGGGACCATGACCTGAGCTGAAGGCAGACACCCAACTGACTGAGCCACCCAGACGCCTCGCCCCAAATAATTTTTAATGCAAATCCATTTTTTACCCAAAAATCATAGCACATATATGTTCTTATAGTTTTATAAAAAGGCTATAGGGGCGCCTGGGTGGCTCAGTCGTTAAGCATCTGCCTTCGGCTCAGGTCATGATCCCGGGGTCCTGGGATCAAGTCCCGCATCGGGCTCCCTGCTTGGTGGGAAGCCTGCTTCTCCCTCTCCCACTCCCCCTGCTTGTGTTCCCTCACTCGCTGTGTCTCTCTCTGTCAAATAAATAAATAAAATCTTTAAAAAAAAAAAAAAGGCTATATAAGCTAAGGAAACAGGTAAGAGTGCAAATATTTCATAACTGAATTAGTAGTTCTGGTCTTAATTTGATTTTTTAACAACTTTTTCTTTTCATTGAGATTTTGTGGTGGTGGTTTGGTTTTATTTATTTATTTTTTAAGTTGGCTCCACAATGGGAGCCAAATTCAAGGCCTGAACTCACAACCCTGAGATTAAGACCTGAGCTGAGACCAAGAGTCGGACACTTAACCAGCTGAGCCACCCATGCACCCCTTTCATTGAGATGTGCAATAAGGATATGTGTGTTTACTGTGCATTTTGGTTTTATCTATATTTACAAATTGTAGCAATATTTTGGATACATTTTAATTTAAATATAAAACACTTTTGCCTACAAAAAATGTTAAAAAATGAATATATGCATATATCTGGCAATCACCTTTACTTTCTGGAGTTCTTTTTTTAATTTAAATTCCAGTTATAGTTAATATACAGTGTAATATTAGTTTCAGGTGTAGAATTCAGGTGTGATTCAACACTTACATACAACACCCGGGTGTTCATCATACATGCCCTCCTTAATCCCCATCACTTACTTAACCCATCCCCCCACCCACTTCCCCTCGGTAACCATTAGTTTGCTCTCTAAAGAGTATGTTTCTTGGTTTGCCTTTTTTTTCTATGTTCATTTGTTTCTTAAATTCCACGTATTAGTGAAATCTATGGTATTTGTCTTTCTCTGACTTATTTTGCTTAGCATAATACTCTCTAGCTCGATCCATATCATTGCAAATGGCAAGATTTCATTTTCTTTATGGCTGAGTAATATTTCACTCTCTATATACATATATCACAATACTTCACTGTGTGTGTATATATACACACACACACGCCACAATATTTCACTGTGTGTGTGTGTGTATCACATCTTCTTTAGCCTTCGACTAATCAGTGGATATTTGGGCTCTTTCCATAATTTGGCATTTGACCAAGTACAACATCCATTCATGATAAAAATCCTCAACAAAGTAGGATTAGAGGGAACACACCTCAACATAATGAAGGCCATTTACCAAAAACCTATGGCTAATATCATCCTCAATGGGGAAAAACTAAGAGCTTGTCCTCTGTGGTCAGGAACAAGGCAGGGATATATACTCTCACCACTCTTATTTAACATCATATTGGAAATGCTAGCCACAGCAATCAGACAACAAAAATAAAAGGCATCCAAATCAGCAAGGAGGAAGCCAAACTTCCACTATTTGCAGATGACATGATACTCTATATAGAAAATCTGAGACTCCACCAAAAATTGCTAAAATTGATACACATATTCAGTGAAGTCACAGGGAGCAAAATCAACATACAGAAATCTGTTGCATTTCTATACACCAATAATGAAGCAGCAGAAAGAGAAATCAGGGAATCAATCCCATTTACAACTGCACCAAAATCCGTAAGATCTCTAGGAATAAACCTAACCAAAGAGGTAAAAGATCTGTACTCTAGGAGTCTTTTTCTTAGAAAAACACATAATCTACTTTTTAATCATGCCTACACCATAAAATTTTGTGATATCTAGGCAAATTTAATTTGAAAAGAATCAAAATCATTTTCTTGTAGTAAAATATCACAACCCTTCTTGTTTTCTAAAAACTGAGATGCCTTTAACAATTTCAGCTTGTATTTCAAGAAATATACAGTTACCTGTCATCACACAGAATTGTTTAAAAATATATTTTAATGGGTAATTGTGAAAGACAGTGGTCTCCTTTTTTAAAGGAGTCTTCCTAGGTCCACACCCCTTTCTTACTTAGGGCAAATCTCTTATTATGGGAGTGTGCATTGGAGGTCAAAAGAGAAAACCAAAGGAGATCCTCCCAGGCAGCCAGAGCAAGGTCTCAGCCTGACCACTCCTATCCTAGACTTTGAACTCCAGCTGGCACCACAAAGATGCTATCAGTAAAAAGTATTTAAAGTGGCAGTAGTAGTAGTAGTATAAATCTTAGATTTGTGGCTTCCTAACACATATTCCTAGACCATGACTACGGTTAGTCCCTCCTGCAACCTAGCTCCCCTGGGTTTTTGTCCATTTTCCAAGCCTGATTTTTCAGTCTTCCTATAGATTCTTCAACTAACAATTAAATTCCTTTTCTGTTGAAGCTAACAAGTGTTGGTTTCTCTGCCCATAACCAAAAATTCTGGCTGATTTAACACTTTTTATAGACACCTATACATTTGAAACATGAAAATATCTGTTATAAAATTACCATAAAATAATCTGATATTTCTGTGTATTTAAAAACAAAAAAGGGGGGAACTCCTGCATGGCTCAAATGGTTGGGCATCTGCCTTTGGCTCAAGTCATAATCTCCAGGTCTTGGGATCAAGCCCCACATTGGACTCCTGGCTCAGCGGGAACTCTTCTCCTCCTTCTGCCTCTCTCCACTGCTTGTGCTCTCAATCTCTCTCTCTCTCAAATGAATAAAATCTTTTTTAAAAAGGCGATGTTAACATTTTTGTGCATCTTTCCCATTGATATTGGAGCCAACCATAAAGCGGATCAGAGAATGGATAGAAAAGTAGCACAGCAGGGTATCTGGCTCCAAACAGGCCCTCTTACTGAATGGCTTTCTGACTGGTGCCTATAAGCAATAATGAGATGCCAACAGTTATCCAAGGTATTTGTATATAAATCTATATAATTTATATCACATATTTATAGTATGATATAATATAGATACGTATAGTATAAAGACAGATATATAGCATAAATATTTTATATATCACAAACTTATATAAACTTCCATATTGAAATGAAACTTCTATATAAATTCCCAGGATAGTTTTAAGACCTGGATCTAATATTTTACTATTGGTAGTCATTTATATTTTTAGAGTATCTTTAAAAAATCATTGATATAGGACTACATGATAAATTTGGTTCTTTTAGGAAAGTAGTATAGACCAGTACATTATTATTAAGTAGATAACATATACTTAAATTTCTTCATGGCAAAGTAAGTATATTAAAGAACAAACATATTGAGCCATGATTCTTCCCACCTTAGTACCTTTGCATATACTATTCTCTCTGTCCATTTCTTCACTAAACTAACGCCTACCAATCACTTAAATCTCAGCTTACATGACATTTTCACCAACAGGTCATCACCACCCCTTCAATCTCAGACTAAATATACTATTTGTATTTGTAACACTGTCTTCTTTTCTATCACACTATTTACTGTAACTGTATTTATTGCAACTGTAACTGTAAAGATTTATTCCTCTGCTTAATATCTACTCTCCCTCCCACAAGTACAAGCTCAAAAAGAAAGCCATTTTAGGATAAAGATGATGTGGTGTGTGTGTGTATGTATGTATGTATATATATACACATACATACACACACACACATATATACACAATGGAATATTATGCAGCCATCAAAAAATGAAATCTTGCCATTTGCAATGACATGGATGGAACTAGAGGATATAATGCTAAGCAAAATCAATCAGAGAAAGACATGTATCATATGATCTCACTGATATGAGGAATTCTTAATCATAGGAAACAAACTGAGGGTTGCTGGAGTGGTGAGGGGGTGGGAGGGATGGGGTGGCTGGGTGATTGACATTGGAGAGGGTATGGGCTATGGTGAGCGCTGTGAATTGTGTAAGACTATTGAATCACAGACCTCTACCTCTGAAACAAATAATACATTATATGTTAAAAAAAAAGAAGAAGAAGAAGATAGTAAGAAGGGAAAAATGGGGGGGGCGGATCGGAGGGGGAGACAAACCATGAGAGACTATGGACTCTGAGAAACAAACTGAGAGTTCTAGAGGGAGGGGGGTGGGGGATGGGTTAGCCTGATGGGTATTAAAGAGGGCATGTGGGTGGCTCAGTTGGTTAAGCGACTGCCTTCGGCTCAGGTCATGATCCTGGAGTTCCAGGATCGAGTCCCGTACTGGGCTCCCTGCTCAGCAGGGAGTCTGCTTCTCCCTCTGATCCTCCCCCTTTCTCATGTGCTCTCTCTCATTCTCTCAAATAAAATAAATAAAATCTTTTAAAAAAAAATAAAGAGGGCACGTTTTGAATGGAGCACTGGGTGTTATACACAGTGAATCATGGAACACTACATCAAAAACTAATGATGTAATGGTGATTAACATAATAAAATAAAAAAAAATCCATTTTAGTCCTAATCCACAGTAAAGTGCCTAGCACA